GGAGCCTAATTTAAAAATAAAAATATGCGCAACCTCATACAAAGCTGCACTCCGTGTGTTGTTAAAGACTCTCAACTACTACCACAGCCAGTTTTAACAATCTGTAAAACTGACATGTGACATATGTGTTTTCTAACATCCGCTGTTTGCAGAAAACATCTCGAAGTGACTCCAAAAGTTTTTATGTGTTTAAAATATATCCAATTGTTACCTTTTTTCATGTTTTATTAAAATTCACCCAGTGGTTCTTAAGATGTTTTGATTATCTGTAGCTTTATTTCTTCTTCTTTTTTGTAGCTTTATTTCTAATTGTTACATCCTTTAGTTTCTAAAGTCTCCCTCTCTCACCATCTCCATCCCTTCCTTGTTTCCTCTCCATTTCTAATCTGTCACCCTCTGCCAAACTCTCAGCTTGCTACACCCTCCTCCTCCTCCTCCTGCTGCGTCCTGTAATCCTTGCCAAAAAGAGTGTGATTTGCATAATCTGAATTAGCTTAATCTGCCGTCCTGGCCCCAGCAGAGCGGAGGTTCACTCTCAGGAGCTTCAGGGAGGAGTGTGTGAGGAGGGGGAATACTGTAAAAAAGATGTTTCCAACAATCACATTTGACATTTGTAAACCATTTCTAATCAAATGCTTTGTTTTCCTCTGCCACAAACCGAGCTGTGAGTCACTGACTGAAGGTTCAGTGACTCTGATTCATTTAACATTCATGCTACAGTGTAATTATTTTGTTTTCTCTTTTTTCTATTTGTTCATTTTTACTTTATGTTCTTTTTTTCTGTATGTTCTTTGCAGTCTTAAAGTTTCTGTTTTTATATATCAAAACATTCAGCTCATTGAGGAGGGAGAAGCTAAAACATTTTTGTCAAATTTATACTTTTCAAAATGTTCATCATGTACCTCATCAAAATATATCGAGTCCTCCTCAGTTTCTTTAAAAACATTCTTCTTGTTGCATCAGATTTTTTGCTATGTTTTGCTTTTATCTTGCCATTCACTGCTTTTAGCATGTAACTTTTAGCTGCATTTTGCCCCTAACTTGCCTCTTTGTTGTGTTAGCTTTTAGCTAGCCTTTTGCTGGTTTTATTTTTAGAAAGCATTTTACTACAATTAAAT